AACACCAAATAATTCTTTCAACTCTTAACCCAAACAAATTTCAAAGGACTCCCACCATCCTTTGCATTTTGCAAGAGGATCTGTGCCTGCCCCTTTGCACTGCCCAGAGCTGCCTCAGTCTGGGTGTGTGCTCCAGAGCCAAGAGGAGTGAAGTCTTTTATTGGTTTCTGCAGGTTGGCTGGACCAAGGGGGAAATGCAAGTTTGGAGAATGTAAAGGGGAAGGAGGTAGACGGGGTAACACACAGCCCTACACACCTGTGTTTTGCTGAATCACCCATCCTGACGCAAGGCTATGCTATGCTCCCCATGGGTCTCAGTGTCCCCTTTAGCCCCTTCCCTTGCGAACTGAACAGTGCACCCAAGGTGTCTCTGCTGACATCTGTCACTCCCTTCTAGCCACCTGACCTGAGCCTGGTCAAGGTGGGTATTCAGTTCCACCCACTCTGCTCTTGCCAGTCGATCAATGCAAGCGGTAAAGAACATCCCGTGCCAAAGGACAGCCTCTGCTTGGCTGACTCAGCCCAGGACAGGAAGGCTGGGGGCATCTGGCATTTACTGAAGCCTTTGGTTGTTCCTTACAAAATATTAACTGGAAATGGACTGTGTTGGCCTGGTTCTAAGAAGGTCACCTGGGCTGGTTTTGAAAGGCAGAGGAACTGTCAACAAAGGGAAGCGATAAGCAGCGTCGTGTTTCTCTGAGCTAATGTGTCCAATTGTGTACCTCTGGGATCGGCTTTATATCTCTCTGCAGATCAGTGTGTTTTTATGACGACCATCTCCATGGCAACCAGGTGTCCAGACGCTAAATGGATCTCAAGGCTATTCAGTCGCAGCCAGGGAGGGAAGCCCCTTTCCCTGCCTGTTCTTCCACATTGCGGATTGGCATGTGGGGCGGGAGACATGGGCCTTCCTCCCCAGGGCCCAGCTGGGCACAGGGACAACGTGAGGGGAGAGGGGCCTTTTCTTTATCAATTTTCCTAATAACCCAGCAAAAAGGGCAGAGTGGGCCAATGAAAGCTGCCTGCAACTAAATCGGAAGGTGTGACACACACCAGAGGGGCTGGAGAAATTTTTACATGGGAGGGAGAATCGTCCTGGAGATCCCGAGTTGGTGACCTGGTTCACAGCAAGAAGGGAGAAGAGATCTCAAAACAGAGCTGCTTAAGGAGACTGGGAGAGAAAGATGACAAGCCTGAGTCTTGGACACTGCATGGGCACAGAACTGAGGACGCAGTAGGGAGGCTGAGTCCCAGCCACGAAGACAATGTTCCCCCAGATTGCTCTGGCGGCCCAGGGAAGGTCCCCAGGGAGACTGTGGAGGAGGTGAGGTTGCAGGGGGAAGGAGGAGAGCCCCAGGAGCTCCATCCTCCTGAGGCAGCTCAAGACACTGAAGGCAGTTATTCCAGGGCCACATGGACCTGTCTCCAGGGTCAGCCTTGCAGGCACAGAGCCCAGCCCCCCAGAGCTTCAGCTGGTCCACCCTGATGGTGAGTGACAACTGCTTCTTTTGTTTTGAGTGATGCTCCGTGGGCCATCTGCACAAGCAGGGCATCCACAGCCACGCGGCAGGCCTACACAGGCAGGCAGAATGACCCTCCCCACCACAGTAATGCACAAAACGGAACAAAGCAACATGCACTTGAACCCCAAGAAGTTTTCTAGAGTAGCACATAAACAGGCTTCAAGTGGCCTTTCAGAGGGAAGTCCCTTCCTGGCCACAGCCTATCCAGGGCCTGATGGGGCTGCAGTGCGGAAGGGCACGTGATCACCCCACTGCCCCCACTCCAGGACAGCAGTCTGAGATGAGTGGTGATTCTCTGGATCCCTGAAGCTAGGTGTGTCCTGGAGGCCACTGCCCTCCCCCAGGGTCAAGTCCATCAGAGCCAACATGTCTGGCGACAAAATGAAAGGAAACCACAGTCTCCATGAAGGAAGAACCAGTAGGAAGCATCTTTTCTTTTTCTTTCTTTAAAACACTAACAAGATCCTCAATATATTTGAGATTGCTGAGCAAACTCTTTTCAGGTCACCAACCAGCAGACCGTGGATGCAGAAACTGGTTTTTTGACTTTCCCTCCATCCTGACCCAAGACTGCAGGCTGGGCATGGGAGTATCTGCCTAGCTAGCCATTAGCAATTCACCAAAGTCCTGATCTCCACATGATAAGTTCAGTGCTCGGCAAGTTATTAGAAAATCCTATTTCTACTCTGTTATGAAACAGAGGTTTGATGTGCTGCCAGGTTTATGGGGAACTCTGGAAACAACGCTTGCGGCTCTGAGAAGCGGGCCGGGTGGGTGTTACATAAAGCTTTCTTAGCGACTCAGGTTTATCACTGAACGTGGGGCCACACTGGCAAAGCAACTGAGGTGACGCAAAACACGAGCCAGACCTCGATCCCCACTCGCTCTCTGGCCAGCCATCAAGCCAGCAGGACAGCTTTTAGCCCTGGGGACTGGCAGACCAGGGCTGGCTGCAGTAAGCCTGAGAATGCTCAGCTTGAAAGGCACCTTCACGCCGCGCTCACCAAGGCAGAGTGCTTGCCCCTCTGAGCCAGCTGCTGGTTGAAATTGGCTCAAACACAGCTTATTCCCCCTTCTTTGGTCCACTCCCAGTTCTTCTGGGCACCACAGTAATGAAGGGAGTCAGGTCACCTCTTGGAATCCCTGCGGGTGAAATGCATCTAATGGCCAGACCATGTGTCTGGAGGAAATGGATATGAATCTGTCTTCTGGACTCTTGGATCCAAAATCATGCAGATTAGGATGGAATCCTTTTCTGGTGCTGGTTGCCAACTTCTGTGGGGTTTCTGAAAAGCCTGTGTCCAGTCAACTATTCTAAATCTCTCAGGGCTGAATTGGGGTTGGGAGGGGAGACTGGAAGAAGAAACTGCTCAAACATTCATTGGGAAGATGAAGATCAAGGCCAACCGCCTGTGGTGGTCAGCTTAGAGGGTTGGGCTGGGTTGGGGTAAGGGGTACGTGTCAAGCGGGTGGAGGAGAGCAGTTGGAGAAAAGAGGGTCCCATGGTGGATTGCCCGGGTCATTCTACCCGAGACCTAACACCTCTCTGTGAGACCTCTGGATGCAGGCTAAGTTCCCTGACCATCAAAGAAAGGGTCTTCCTTTCATTTGGGAAGGAAGAGAATGCTTTTCTCAAATCCAGAGTGCTGTGTGCAGGAGAAGCAGTCACCCAGCTGCTGGGTCCCCTCCCTTACATGAATCAGATGGCCCTTCTCTGGAGTCTCTCTCTGTCCCTTCACTGTCCTTCTTGGCTGAAGAGGGGGTCGGGGCAAGGGCTACTTGTTTGCCTTAAAACCAGCAACCCTAAGACAGGTCCATGCCTTCAGAAGGTGAATTTCTACTTCAGGTGGTCTTCAAGAAGTTACCTGAAGTCCAGAAAAGGAATTGGTATTGAGATGTCTCTTAAAAGATGTCATTAAAAAGTAAAATGGAGACTTCCAAAGAAGGCACTGATGTCCCCAGCAAGGACAGTGGGGTCCTGTCATCGTCCCTGTACCAGTAGATGGTATTGTGCCTGTTTATAATAAGGGGCACCCTGTGCAAAGGCTCCACCCAGGATCCGGCCCCGCCCAGGTTGGGCGCCTGCCTGTAGACAGGAGCTCAGAAAGTCCGGCCCTGGAATGCAGTCCACAGCCGGCATGGCCCTGCTGAGCCCATTTCAGCTGAAATGAGATCAATACTACTCATTTTTCTCTTGCTGGCTCCCGGGTGATTCATGAATCTGAAAACTAGTTCATGAATCAGACTGTGGCAGGGTGGGGGGCCGGGCAGGGGCGGGACCGTTTGTGCAGTCGCAAACCCTGGTTCCTTTCATGCATCCATCCGGCCATGAGTTGCATAAGGCTCCTCGCCTGCCTGCTAGCTTGAACCAGGCTTTTCAGAAGCAGCTTTGAGCTTCCACTTATTCACCTATTTTCCTTCTGGAAAGTGAGAGAAGGATACTGTACTGACTGTGTGATTGTATCTGGGTGGGTATTCTCAGGCTCTTTGTGTTTATTGCTGTGGGCAACTTTCCCTGACAAGGGCTGTGTGTGTGTGTGTGTGTGTGTGGTGTACGATGGTCTCTGTGTGCACATTGTATGTGTGTGTGCATGTATCTATGTTGGTTTTGGGGTGCATATTTGTGTGGGGTGTGTGTGTGTGTGTGTGTGTGTGCGTGTGAATGAGCAACGTGTGACCGGCCTCGGGCCCTTTAACCCTGAACAGGAGCCAAGTTCATTTCTCTGCGGAGCTGCCTAAGGAAGCACGAGATGGGGCAGTTGGAAACCACATCCCTGTGAGTGCTGATTACAGCCGACTAAGGAAAATGAGATTTTTATCTCACAGGAATTCAGTTATAAAAATAAAATACAGCGTCTGGCTTGATTCAGCTAAATGTACAAGCACCAGGGTGTTTTTAATTTAACAGAGAAGCTGGACAAGAAGAATGACCTAAAACATTGCGTGGAGAGAGTGAGGGGCGAGGGGGCGGCCACAGGAAGTGAGTGTTGGTGGGGGAGGGCCAGGGGGAGGGAGGTGGAGCAGAGAAAAACCACCCTGCTGGCACATGAATGCAGCAGGGATGATGTCACTGGAGCAGTTGGAGCAGAGGGGAGAAAAACAACCCAGAGCTGTGCTAATCCCGTTTGCTGCCCTGAAGGGAATGGACGGCGGCCAAGGCAGGGAGTTCTGGGAAACCATATAAGGGTGCCAAACAAGCTTTGCCGCCAACATTAGGAACTGACAGCTTTGTTCTTTGTCACTTGGCTGCCCGCCAGAGGCCTCATTTCAGCTCTGCGGCATGATTACCCTGGACGGCCGCCAGCCCTGCGCTGAGAGCTCCTTTTCTTCTCCCTGAGCTTTCCGCCCCCCCCCCTTCCCTTTGCCAAACATGCAGTGGTTGCCATGGCAGTGGAAAGTAAAGTTTAAAAAAAACACAACAGAGTGGAGAGGCACGCCTCAATCCAGATGTGCCACATGAGCAGAAAGGAGGTTAACCTCTTCTGGGCCTTCGGCGAGGGGGAGAGGCAGCCGCTGCCCGCTGGGGAGGTGACTCCAGGATAAACCGGGCTGAGCTGCGGGCGGTGCAGGCGGGGCTGGCTCCCAGGCCTTGTTTTCCTGCTCGCTCTCTTCCTGCGGCATGGTGGAGTGCGTAATCTGAAACGGAAAATGTCATGCTTTCCACTGGGAATGTGTCCACAGTGTTGAGAAAGCTCTAGAAGCCTAGGTCCATAAGCATTAAAGGCAGGAGGAAGGAAGGGAGGGGAGGGGTGGTCACGGTGCCCCCTGGCCACCAGGGTGAGCCCAGAGAGTAAGACCTGACCATGGTGGCCGTGACTGAGAGGGCTCTGGGCTGGGCAGGGTGGTGGAAGGAGAGGAGCAGCTGCCGACTGGCCCTCGGAGCCTGGAACCCGGGGACAGTCATGTCCCTTTTCCCACTTGGAGGCGCACCCAGGGGTTTCACTTTACAAGGGGACTCTGAAGAGGCCAGTCTGCTATTTTTAATCAGGTTCATTTTTCACCTGATTGGAAAGTGGAACATCTCCTGGAGGTGACAAGTCGTGATGAAGGCAAGTCTCCAGCAGATAGCTGGCTGGCTTCCTAGGCAGAGGGTACATAGAAGTGGAGCCTGGTGGCCAGCTCTCCCCCACTACACAACCTGACACTCCTCGCCTCAGCAGGATTCCGGGAAAGGCCTTTTCTGCTTCTAAGAAGGGCTGACTGTGTGTCCTGGCCCTGCAGCTGGAGGGACTAGAAGGCTCCAGCAGGCACTGCTGTCAAGAGGCCTGGGACAGGGCCCTGCAAAGCACATTGGTTCTTACCTCAGCTGCACCCCAAGGGCCTCCTGTGCCTTTGCAGACCGTGCATGGGCGCCTCCCGAGTGCAGAGAGAGAAAAGAGCCCAGGAGGAAGGGCTCAAGGTCAGTAGGGAAGGGTTGGCAAACCCGAGACAAGCCCAGGGAGCCCAGCGCTGCCTCTTCCTGCTCCTCCCTGCTTTTACCGCAGGCCCAGGCTGCCCTTCTTGGGAGCAGGCCTGGCTGGGAGTCGGTAATTCATGAGTTAACCAGCATGCTGTCTGGGCAGAGCAGTGTGGAGCAGCCCCCTGGGAAGTGTTGCACAGAGACCTGGTACCCAGACTCAGCCCGGCTGGGGGATCCCCTGGACCTGCATGTGCCCTGCTGTCACTCATACTGAGGACATGGCCAGACATCTGGAGTGAGAAAGGGAGGTGCACAGGGCACTGCAATTACCATGCAAACACAACGCCCAGCTTGGGTCCCCAGAAGATGGCAGAGCCTAGCAGCCGGGCAGAGTGGACCGGAGGCCAGAAAGAGAAATACTTTATCCCAGGTGGGACAAACGGAGCCAAGGAAAATTGCCAGACAGACCTGGTCCAAAGACAAACTCAGACTCTTAAGAACGAGGGGAGGAAAGGAAGCCTGGGTTCAGGGCAGGACTGAGAGCTCCCACCTCCCTGTCCTGAGCTCCTGACTTGAAGCCAGGGAAAGGGATCCCACCTTGGGGACAAAGACAACTTCCTGGAGTCTACCAGAGCAGTGACCCAGAGCAAGGGAAGACTTGAAGCTGACTGGCCCAGGCCTGGTCCAGGCACATCCCTGCACACTGAGCTGACTGGCTGCGAAGGCAATGCTGGTTATGTCCAGAAGGGACAGTGAGCCAGGCACGCCCCTGTGGCACACTGAGGCCCTGCATAGCCGAACGCCTGAGCCTGGGACAGCCCATGGTCTCCTGTTCACCCAGCATGGCTTCCCAGGTGCTGCCTGGGAAACCCGCCTCTGGCTGGATGCCTGGGCCTGCCCTTCCCACACCACACACTGGAAACCTGACTCCCTGGGCCTTGTTTTCAGTCCCACACCCTCCCACAGCCTGTGAGTGCAGAAGGACCAGGAAGGCTGCTGCCTGTGGGGAAGCCGGAACTCCAGCAGGCCTGCCCAGCCAGGTCAGCTGGCCCCAGGATGTGAATTCGGTGCCCAAGTGGTCTCCTCGCTCAGGATCCATGAGTTGCAAGCAGTGCATGTGAAGCAGCAGAGACCCAGTCCCATTGCTCCCACGTTAAGGCCGGCTTCCTATTGAGTTTGTCAGGCTCAGGGAAAGGAGGATCCTGTGGGATTTATCTTTCCTGAGAAGCCAAGATAAAGCAGAACCAGATCTGTCTGGCCTTGGGGAAGGCGGGAGGTGGTGTGTCTCCAGCCACAGAGACCTGAAGTGCAAATGGGCTCTCAAGTTCTCCTGTGATCTTCCATTTCTAGTGCTAGATTTCCCCCTTGTTAAGAAGTCCAGTTTAATTTCTTGCTCCACCTGCATGGTAAAAATAATTATGTACAGAGATCTTGCTGCACTAAAACGCAGAGATTCCACCTCTACCTTTGGTCAAGAGAAGCTTCATGGACACAGATGGGCAGCATTTCTGTGTTTCTCTGCAGGCAGGTAAATGAAACCACTGGGCCTGTCCTAGAGAGCAGCCTTCGAGCAGTGGCAAAAATTAAGGGATAGAAATGAAGACAAAGCCCTGACAGGGATTTCATAGAGCCTGGGCCTGACACAGGGTTCCTACTGGAAAAGGGTGTCAGAGATGGTCACCACACAGAACACCCTGACTTCAGGTGCAGGCCTTGGGACAACCTGGGGGAGGCATGGAGAACCCTGTGATATATCCCGCCCCCGGCAGTCCCTTGCCTCTCTGCCATCCAGACGCCATCCCTGGATGCTCAGGACCGCTGTCTGCAAAGGGAGGAGAGATAGCTGCTGTCTCCATGAGTGTGTTTTAGAGCTCCACTCTGGTGGCTTTGGAGAGTTTGGAGGCTAGTTCAGGCGGCGGCAGGTCTTTGCCATGTCATGCCCAAATCGGTATTTTGGGACTTGCAAAATCACCTGGCATTAGGAAGTCCACTGCAACTGTTTCCAGCCGGGGTGGCTTGAAGAGCTGTCATGGAGGAGCCAGCTTCAAGGGTTTTTAAGAGACTCATAGGTTTGCATTAATGTTTGAGTGCTCAGGATTCAACATGCTGAATCTTGCATCTTCCCGGTATATGTGGTCACCAGGCAGTCAGCTGATGCACACATGTATGGGTCTCTGGGTGGCCCTATTCAGCATGGTGCCACCTGCACCCACACAATTAGTCAATAAAGTCATCACTTTTAATCCCAATGACTTGTTCCATGAGTGCCCCTCCCCCACTGTACCTTTGTGTGCAAAGCCACAGGTACAATGCCCAGGAAAGCCACAGGGATGCCAAGGCCATTCAAATCGGCTGACTTGTTCAAGATTATTACAGGTGGCAGTAGTGGACCTCAGACCTGCATCTCTAGAGTTCTCCTGCAGGGCCTGAGGGCCAGCTCTCCCAAAGGAGCCACTTGAAACTGTCCCAGGCCCTGCCTCCTTCCCAGAATATGCCCAACCTGGAATGCCAGTGGCAACATATCTTGTGTCCACACAGATTATCAGGCTGCCTCCGGGCCCTTTGGTAGTTCCTCAGGCAGGTGTTTGTGAAGGCAGGAGTGTCCTTCCTTGCCAGGGAGGGAGTCCTGGAGCATGGGTCTGTGCTGAGATCACACACAACACTTCCACCAGGCCATCCTTGGATGGGACCCTTACCTGCCTGCAGAGGACCTCCACTAATTATTAGGGTCACTGTTTGGGCTCTAGGGCCTGGCTGCTCTTCTTGCTGGCCACAGGCTGGGTTCTCAAGCTCCTGGATAACCTGGAGTACTTTGGGCTTTTTGATTGTCTCTGCTTCACCATTTTAGCAGACAGCATCTTCAAAGAATTTGATGATTCCACAATCAAGTGAGGACTACAGGGAAAACTTTTAAAACTGCCAAACCCTGTGGTGATGAATGGTGGTACCATTCCAAGGGGGCAAGCACAAAGTCTGCTAGAGAAGGGGCAAGCCTCCCCCACCTTCCCTGCTGACCCAGGGCCTCTGCGCACTGCAGGACACTGTCGAGCCAAAGTGCCTCGCTCTCAAGCACATGGCCTGTGTGCACCAGAGTGTGAGCTTTTTGAGGACAGGGGCTGCATTTCGGGTGCCCCTGGTATTCTTGTAGGGCCTAGAAGAACACAAGAGCCTTGTTGAAGGGACTAAAAATATCCCTCACCACTAACAGTCAGGGCTCCACCACGTGGGCAGAGCTCATGGAAGTCCATGAGGTGGGCTCCAAACCTTGGCTTCTCAGACAAACCCAGCTGAATCTCAGGTGCTGAGACTGCAGTTCCCAGGGCCACGGGGACCTGCCTGAGCAACTGCTACCCTACAAGGCACTCAGGCTTCCGATCACAGTCCCTGCGAGGAAAGGGCCCACAGAGGTCAGAAAGTGACCTGCAAGGTCCTGCTGTCAAGTCACAGCCCAGATCTGGAACGTTTGGTCCTGCTAACTGTGGCGTCGGCTGCAGCGGCATGACCCTTTACACCTCTCATGTACAAAAGCAGCAGATGGCCTAGGTGGGGACTGTGCTCTGTTTTTTAAGACTGTGAGAAAAGTCTCTAATATTTAGTCAAAAAATATCCTTGTGGCTGGCATATAAATTTTTAGCCAAATGATACTGTATATAATCAGGAAAAGGCAAACATACATAATCTACAATTCCCCAGACAAAAAAAAAAAAACGTAAAACTGCAGGAAATTTCAAGTAAAAAGACTAAAAGCAATCTATTCAACCCTGGCATGCCCCCTTCTGCCTGCTCTCGGGACGCCCTTGGGCAGGTTAGATGGGCAGGCTGTAAGATGCCCAGCCTGTCACTGACTGTCAGTATCGGGCCCAGACTCCCATTTCCTAAGCTATGAGTCAGCTTAGTGTCTGGGTCACATCTGCTGGCATTTAGGAGAGGCAGGTGACAGGGCTCCAAAGCAAGCCACAGACTGGCCTTTGCTGCAGAGGTATTCTCCAATCACACACATTTATTGAACATTATCTATACGCAAAGACAGAGAGGAAGGTGACCTTAGAGAGGTTAGTCTAGTAGGGTCAAGTGACAGAGACTGCATGTCTTTATTCTTTGAGATAATTCTATGTAACTATGACAAATGATGAAGGAGAAAAGTACTGAGTCTCCATGTGGGGACACCTGCCCAGATCTGCCAGTGCGGTTCACAAGGCCAGTGGTCCTTATCCATAATGCCCCAGGGACGTCTAGCATGTGGCCTGCACAGCTCTCAGCAGGTCTGTTTAGCCTGGCTGCAGGATAGACTGTGCTTCTCCTGAGACTCATCTCACCAAGGCAGTGAGGGGCTTGGGAGGGGTCTCCATGGTACATCAACTCAGAGATGGTCCTCTCCAGCTTCCAGGGAACAAGTCCAAAGATATGTTTCAGCCCCACTTAAGGGCACTTGTAGATACCTGTGCATCAGCTGAGATCGATCCGGGTACCTGGGTCTAGCTGGGAGGGAGGGAGGCCCATTCCGGCCAGGGCAATGTGCTTTATGCCGGGGAGAGTGGGCCTGGAGCAGAAGACACATCCCCTCAGACAAAGCTTCTCTGCTCCCTCCAGGGGCAACCTTCCTTCATTACACTGCAGGCCCCAGAGGGCCCTGTGGCTGCTTGGGGGAATCTCAGTGCTCCCTGGGGAGATAGATGGTCAGGAAAGCCCAGGATCTGCACAAGGCCAGGGAGAAGTGCGTTAGAACCGGAGCTGGTGGCAGCCTGGAAGAAGGGGACAGCAGCTTAGCTACCTCCAGCTCACAGGCCTTGCACTTTTCAGAATGCTCCCTAGGCATCATTTCAGTCAAGCAGTCCTTACCACATGCTGATTCTGAGGTTCAAAACCAAACTGCCAGAAAGCCAGAACAGAAGGAACCACCAGAAACAAACAGAGCCCCGCCCACCCTCCAGGTCTCCAAATCAGACCAGGCTCTGACCAGACCATGGGTAATGACAAAGACGAGAAGACCCACCAAGTAAATCCTTGG